ATATATATATACTCCAAAAATATTTAGGATAAAAGTTTAGGTGAAAAATAATGGAATAAAATAAGTTTTCAATCTATTTTTCTCTTCCAAATAAATCAAAAAACAGAATTAAATAAATCATCAAAATAAATAAATTTAACAATCTCCCCCTTTTTTATGATGGCACACTATGATATTTTGATTTGTTTGGGAGTAAGAAAAGCTCCCCCTCAAGTCATGCTCCCTAAATGATTGTTCATGCTAGATATATAAGATAGCACATTAGCAATAAATATGATTTAATCAAAGACATGATTTGAGACTAATATATCAAACTATAGATGTTCTAATATAACAGTTTTCCAAAACAAATTTCACAAATTCAGAATGTCAAGTAAAAGGAAAGACCAACAGAAACTATCTTAGATTCTTAAAAGAAAAAGAAAAAGAAAAAGAGAAATAAAAAGAAAAAGAAAAAGAAAAAACCGACCTTGCCTCTCTCCTCCGTATGTGGCGACAACATTTACCATCGCGGCGTCTCGGTGAAGCAGATGTGGTGGATGCAAAAGTGCTTCGGCTTCTAGTGGAAGAATCTGTATACTTCTTTTCACGTGAGCATGAAGAATCTTTGCCACTTTTCCAAGACAAGCTTCTACGAGGTAAAGGAGAAGACTCAGGCTCCGAACCAGAGAATTCATCAGTGTGATTCCTCCTCATCTTTGAACCAACCAAGCTTCCCTCCTCCTCTTCCTCCTCCTCCTCCTCTGCAGAATTATTACTCACTTTAGACTCGCAATGGATCACTTTATGGTCAGAGCTCGAGTCAAATTTGTCGGAGAACCCACTCATCCCATGGTTCTCCAAAATAACATGAGCATATGCTATTGTCTTTTCAGCCTTCTTTCTCTGGAGAGACAGTCGTTAGCTGTTCCTCCAGTTCCAATACCTATAATGTATGCATAACCAACTATGTAAACTTATAAAAGAAGGATTGAGGCATGTGCCAGCATACAAACACACCCACAAATGCAGAGAGAGAGAGAGAGAGAGAGAGAGAGAGAGAGAATGTTATTCCACAGGGGTCAAAACATAAAATCTCCTAATGCAGTTGAAACATTTAACCAAACTAACCCTTTTGGCCAGTTCATCAGCTCTCTGTCTTGCAGTGCTAGAGACAGATCTTTCAGCGAGCAAGCGTGCCCGAAGGAAATCAATTGTCATTGTATTTGAATTTTCCATCCTATCATCGTGCCTGGTTAATAAAATCCCAGTAAGTCAGGACTCAAAGAAAAGAAGAGCAAGAATAAAGCAAACCCCAAATCTTAATGCTGAAAATTGAAGAAAGCTGACCATCCTAATATTAAGGAACAGTTCAGCTTCAACGTTAAGTAGACCCAAATCGATTACTGTCTATTTGGTTTGTAAAAGTAGAGACAAATTGGAAGACACTGCTCAAGAAACAAATCCAGTTCTAACTATTAAACATTTTGTTTTCCTCTCATTTTATTTATGAATACCAAACAGAGCCTAATTGTACTAAGTACTAGAGGACATAATTGAAGCATTCCTGAGATATTCCGATTCTTCCATTATCCCAAAAAATAAAAATATTTACGGTGAAAACAAAAGAAAGACCGATTCACCAACTTCAAAGTAAGGACTACAAACAATCTAGTCATTCAAGAATTGCGGGAAAATGTAAGAAACTGAAATCCCAGAAAGCCAAATCTTCAAACAAAGAAGCTCAGTATGACTGTGCAAGAACAATCTAATACTTCAAGAATTGTGGGAAAATGAAAGAAGCCGAAATCCCAGAAAGCCAAATATATTCCAACAATGGAGCCCAATATGACTGCGCCAGGAACAATCTAGTAATTCAAGAATTGTGTGAAAATGAAAGAAGAATAACAGTGAAATTCATGATAGACCCAGCTCACCCGATTCCTAAAACTCTCATTTTCCACAGAAACACAGAAAAATCCCAAACAATCTATGTACTTACGAAGAATCAATCAAGAAAACAGTAATTTGGAATATATAAGATTCGCGGGTTGCGGGTTTGGACCGCACCCGTCCCCCTAAGCCTTATAAACCCTTTCAAAACGTCCCACCAAATCAATGTGGGATAAGCCAATTTACCACCTTAAGGAATTTCCACCAAAACTCCATTTCCATGGAGCACACTTTGGCTTCAATTTCCCATTCACTCGGTAATGGTTTTGAGCAACCAAATATACCACGTGAATCACAACGCGGCATAGAACGCGTTACCACTTTGACCCGAGTAAATCGACACTCGGGGCCCACCTAAAAAATAGACCGAATTTAGGAAAAAATTCTGATTTTATCCAGAATTTTATAACCATTTCCAACACTTGTGTCTTCTCCTTTGCTAGCTTGCTGAGCGAGTAAAGTGACATCAAATTCGGACACAATCCATTCAAGCATCCATCGTTTGCTCTAGCTTCGTTCACGAAAAATACCCTAGCCTCTTTGTTGATGGCATCCATGCGTGTTTGCCACCGCTCCATTTGATCATTATCAATTGGGATGACTTGTTCAATTCGTTCGGCCTTGTCAAGCAATTGTTGAAGTAGAGTTGTTGCACTCCTCAGGCTCTCAAAATGATTTTTGAACTTCTCTATGTTGTCTTCATAGTCTTTCACATAGGAAAGCTCATTCCAAATTGGACCAATAATGTTTCTCCCAATTTTCCCTGCAATGAAAATAGCAATGTCTATACACATTTTCTCGCTTCTTTTGATTACTCTCTTTCTCTCTCTTTTTTTGTAATAGAGTCTTTTTATATACAATGATAAGATTGTGTATATCTAAATCTTCACAAACCTCGGAAATAGAAGAAAAATCGAAAACAAGAAATAAGAACCTATCTTCTAATTTTTTGTATAGAGATTAGAGGAGCATACCATGTGTTGCATAGACTATAAACTGTACATTTTAAGTCCCTCCCCCAACCCTAATTATGATCACAAGAAGTAAAGAGCACAGAAAACACAAAGTGAGAATTTGAAAATGACCACACAAACAAACCACACACTTGATTCAATTTATAATTTAGTTGCCGTATGTAGGATCATCACCAAAAATTTTAAAAATAGGAAATATGAAATACAATATTAGTAATTTATTTCACATTTGGTCAACAATCATATAAAAATATTGTAATTTTAAAATTAATCAACCACACGTTTAACATCCTGCTCTTTTCTTTTCTTTTTCATTTTTCTTTTTTTAATGAGAAAAAAAAGAAGTAAATACCTTGGTACCATATATCTAAGTTTTCTCGTACAAAAACAAACAACACACTTTATCCAATATCTACTAATAGTTGTGTTTTATATTTCTTATTTTTAAAGTTTTTGGTGATGATCTTATAAATTGCAACTAAATTATATTGTAAGTGTTTAGGTGTACAAGATACATGTTGTATGCACTTGCATAAGTTCTCATAAATATACATAAATTACCTCACAAAATAGCATAAGTTCTTATAAATATACGTAAGTTGTGATTTCTCAAATTTTTATGAGTTAACTTACGTATATTTATGAAAACATATATAATTTTATAAAATAACCTATGTATATTTATGAAAATTTATACAAACGCATATAATATACATTTGTACAGTTAAGAATTACCCCTATTAATGTATTTCCCATTTGGCAAACAACCACATAAAATATTGTGTTTTTTAAAATTAGTTAAGCACCCATTAAACATGTTGCTACTTCTTTTTCTTTTTAATTAAAAACAAAATATATACATTGGGCCCAATATATCATAAGCAACGCTAACAATTCATATGAATTACAAACATGTTAGGAATCCATATGTAGAGTATTTGGTAATTTATTTGGGATTTTCAATATTTTTGATAAATCATTATTTCCTATAGGTGCAATGTTGTAGTAACCAAATTTACAAAAGTTGAATGTTTGACTAAAATAGCTCGCGGCTTTGTACCACTGTGGTGTACTATCCAATCTTTATAGTAGAGGTTGTGAGTTTAAATCTCATATAGCATTGGGAGTGATCCTTTTTCTTTATTTTTAAAATTGTGTTTGGTTAGAAAATTTGATGAGAAAAATAAAAAAAAATTATTAAAAAAAGAAAAATACAATCTTATTTTTGGTTTGGTTATAATGAAAAATCATTTTTTAGACTTTTTTTTCTTCATTTTTCAACTCAACAAAACATAACTTAGAACTCGAATCATATTAATTCTTTCTCTTTTTCTCTCTATTTCTTTTTTCCTTGCTATTTTTCTCATCAAATCTTTCAACAAAATACCACCTCAATCTAAGCTAAATTATATTCTAATGAAAAAATAAAATAAAGCAACCCCTCATATCACATGAATCCGTACATGCCATAAAAAACATATAAACATCAACAATGATTCATCCCACTAAAAACATCACCACTAATAGCACTAATGCATTAAAAAAGTAAAAAAAAAATTAAAAAAAATACAACTCCAAGACCAAAACATCACATCATTAATGACGGGACCCACTGCCACCTAATTAGTGGGAGCACTAATTAGTGCTCCCAAGCATTTTTCTATAAACATATAGTCACAAGTTTCTAGGTCCAATGCCACAAGCCACATCATATACAATTCAATAAGGGTTGAGTTTCTCAAATTGGAACTTAAGAAAATTTTAGAGGTTCATATATAGATTCCATTTTGATAATTTGAATTATTTATTTTATAAACTCTTTTGCTTATATAATTTTAAAATCGTAATATTTTTATTTTACTACGTTTATCTCTAAAAAAAATGGGGGATAACTTTGTTTTTTAAAATAAATCATCTATTTTCAAAGACAAACACGATAAAATGATAGTGTTACGATTATCAAATTGATTTAATTTTTTCTATAGATAATATATGTTGGAGAATTGGTTTTTATAAGGCTTATTTTGGGCCAACTTTGAGCGCAAAATTGAGTGGGCCCCAAACATCTTTTGGGTTGGATCCGAAGAGGTGACGTGTTTCTTACCGCATGACAAGCCATACGGCGAAAACGGTTCGTCAGAACCATTTATGAGTGAATGGGAACTTAACGTCGTTTTCGGATTCGTGGAATGGACATTTAAAGAATGAAATGTGAGTTTCCTTGAAATAGATTGTCCCACATTGAAACTTTAAGAGAACTTTTTTGTATATATACGCTCTAGACTACAACACTTAGGTTGGGCCCCAAGGGGCACCCCAAATTTGTAGAAGGGAGGAGTTATGGACAACGTGAACCTTTGCCCAAACCACCACACGCGCGCGTCGTCATCTGGCCGTGCCGAGCGTGGGTGTGGGTCGGGTCAAGTCGGTTCTAATATTAATTTTTTGGACAAAATTCTTTTGAATTTTTTCAAAAATTATTGTAGGAATTTAATTCCAAATTTGAATTTGAAGTTCAAATTTTTGTCCATAATTTTGTGCCTCTTTTTTTAACCAAATTCCACAACAAATTTTTCAGTCCAAATAGTTTTATTCTGCTCAAATCCGGACATATTCATAATTGTCCAGACATATTTAAAATTTGGACAGTTTAGTTACAGATCTGTTTGAATTTTGTATGATATCTATTTAGATAGTTTCACACATGTTCATTTGATTCTCAACATATTTATTTTCAAACAGATTTAAACTGTTTTTGATAGGTTTTAAACTGCCATAAACTGCTGCAGTTACACAGATACAAACTACACAGTTCAAATAATTCAATCTGTCCAGCGGATCTGTTGAATTTTGGACTACATCTGTTCATTCAAATTTTGCACCTGTTTGGTTCAAAATTGAACCTGTTCGGACAAGACTTTTTTGCCTATAAATACCTACATTTCCAGCAGTGTTGGGGCATCCAAAAATAGTCTAAAAATCCATTTTTTGCTGTCCTATTTTCTGCACTATAGCATACATTCTTCATTTTAGTTTTAGAGAAAAATTAAAGAGAGTATAGAACACAAGGTTCTAGTTTGCCGGACAAATTTGTTTGGAGTGCTACTACAAATTTGTGAAGATCATTGTATCCTGGGGGATAAACGCCATTAGTCCATAAGCACCGAAGCGGGACGAATCTGTTTTATAGACAGAGTGTCTCACACTTGACTTGGTCTTTTATTTTTCCATTCGATTCGATAAAATAAATTCTATAAGTTATTTATTTTATTTTGTTTGATTTAGTTTCAATTTATTTTATTTACACAGAAGATTGTTCCAACAATCTTAACACAAATTCGAATTATTCTATTTACGTAATTTTTTGTTTATTTCCTTTCTTTTTTCTCATTCTTACAGAAATTATTTTCTGTGATTTTTCAAAAGAATATTCTGGTTGAAAACAGATAGTAGTAATATATTATTTGACGGATAGTAGTAATATACTATCTTTTTCTTTGACAACTAGTAGTAATATATTGGTGTCATTAACAATTCAGAATATTTATTTGTGGAATTTTGTCAGAAATTAATTTTGGTTTTCTTAATTTATTTCAGAGTGTTCATTAATTAAAAAATTCTATTTTAGTTTTTTTTTAATTATTGAAGTGTTACAGAAATTTAATTTTCTGTGTGGAATTAATTTGGTTAAATAAAATTTTATTTTATTTCCAAATTAATTGAAAAATAAAAGTTACATTCTTGTTTCTTTTATTTTTATAGAATTAAATTCTATGAATTTGGTTTATTTTTCTGTGTAGTATAAATTCTAATTCATGGCTACTGAAACTAATTCCCAAACAAGTACTAATATGATGGCTGCAATTGCGCCAACCCCCTCTCTTGTTGTTACAGTACCGGTAAATCACGGTGAGAAGGTAGAGAAGTTCTCTGGAACTGATTTTAAAAGATGACAGCAGAAAATGTTGTTCAATCTTACAACTCTGAATCTGGCTCGATTTCTCCGTGAGGATGCTCTTATTTTGAAAGAGGATGAAACCGACCGGCAAGTGGTTGCTACGGTTAATGCTCGGAAACATGTTGATTTCT